GACCCCCATGTTGACGCGATGGCGAAGAAAGTTATGCAGAAGATTGGAGCACTGTGGCGGTCCCGCAGATGTCTGAGCCTCAGTAGTCGCATCCAGTATGTGAGGTCAGTCATCATGCCTGACCTCCTATATGGGTCTAACGCCTTCTCTTCCTCCCTCAAGGTTTCGCAGCTTGATCGCCTTCAGGTCTTGCAGAACCGAGCGGTGAGAGCGGTATACGGTTTGCCGCCTCACACCTCGGCTCAGCCTCTGCTCGAACGGATATCCCTGTTCAGAGTTCGCGAGTGCTACGCCCAGAAGTGGCTCGTCCTGGTGTGGCGCTGTGTCAATGGGAAATCCAGCAGTGTCCTCCAGGACCTATTCTCACCATCAGCTTGCAGCACCACCTGGCACCAGGTTTCCAGGGGCCTCACTGTCCCCTCGGCACAGTCAGAAGCCGGCAGATCCCGCCTGGCCTTTCAGGCAGCCTTGGCCTGGAACGCTCTCCCAAGGAGTGTAAGGGAGAGTAAGGCTGCCCAGCAATTTAAGCTTTCCTCCATCCCCTACACCTTGCAATGAATGCTCTGTCTGACTTTTCCCGTCCACACACCACGTCATTTACTCTTCTCTGCGTGCTTGTGCGCTTATGAACTCTTTGTGTTCCCTCTGTTGACGCTTAAAAATCGCTCTATTGACACTTCAAAGTCGCTCTGTTGACGCTGCAAAATTTCATATCATATCCTCCCTCCCTCCCTCTCTCTCTCTCTCTCTCTCTCTCTCTCTCTCTCTCTCTCTCTCTCTCTCTCCCTTTTGAAATTCACTTCCTTAGAATTGGGCACCATTGCCCGTTTGGCTTTGCGAATAAAAATAAAAATCGACAACAACAACAACATAACCAGAAACCCTCAGGAAGACGGTGGTGAAGAGGGAGCTAGCTGGAGAGATCAGCCAACGACGGATAAAGACAAATTGCTTAATGTTAAACATGTCCTCCAGGGTGGTGAAGCGGAGCTGTTGAAAGATCGGGCTCATACTCTTTCCCGTAAATTATTTATTGTGCTCTCGTTTAAAACATAGCACCACTGGTAGGTGTAGTTCGTGCTGACTCACCAACACTACTACTCTGTAGTAACCATAGTCCCATTGTTATCTACTGTGCTCATCTTCCCCTCCTAGGTTCTACTACAGCATTGAACCTTCCAAAATTGAAATGTGTTCTTTTACGGACCGGATATATGAAAAAATGAAAATCTCAGATCGTTGATTGTCTCACTAGATTGTCAATTGGTTGTTGAATTTCCGTAGCTTCTGACCACGTAACTCCATATCTTGTGACAGTAATGGACAGGTACTGATACTTTTCGCTATCCACACATGTACCTGTATGTCCGTTCTTTTCTTTTTGCAGTTTCTCCTTTTCCTTTTCTATTCGACTTCTTATTCCTTTCCTTGCTGTTGGATATAAAAGCCCTGCATTTGCCACACAATATGGTCATTGGCTGCAGCAGCACTGTACGTTGTATTGCTTGGAATAGAACTAACGTAAACTGTAAGTATCAGCAATACTGGTCAGTATCACCACTTTGAAATAGGTTAGCGACGTCCACAATGACAACCGCCAGTGACTGTGACCTGGTGACCATAGCTGACAATGCTTGCACCATCGACGTGTCTGCAGTAGATCTATGGAGCTGATGCCCTGGTGTCGTGGGGGGGGGGGGACGGGGTCAGTCTCGCTTGTACACCGGATCAATTAACAAAAAGACTGTACGTACGAGTCGTTCAAGCCCTGCAGTACAACTACATTTCATTTGCACATATATACCTAGAACATGAAACATGCATTCTACGCTTTGCACAACATCGCTATGTATCTGACTAGTGGTCTTCTAAGAGTAGCTGAAATGGCACAAACTTCTAAGCTTGTTCAACCTGCATGATTTGGATTGGATACTGCCAAGGAACTATAGCCGACATGGAACACACTCTGAAATGCGTAAAAGTTTTTTTTAAGAAAAGCAACTCAAACACGGGCAAGTATGGTCAGCAAAGAGCACAACGGTGATGGTGATATAGTCAACGTAGAAATCCAACACTACTGGGATAATGCTTGTGTGCAGCAATTGTTTAAATCAACCTTGAAAGAAACCTGTGAAATAAACCTGTGAAATAAACCTTGAAATGAACCTGTGAAAGAGAATATGAACACAATACACATGCATTGTACTCTGAAAACGACCAAAACAAAGAAAATTACATCCACTGATCCAAATGTTGTCCTGATCATGATTTGGGCAGTAGCTGCGAGTGAGACTCGTAGCTTCCGGTACTCTGGTCATAAGAACCGTATGCTGTACTTCCAGTAGACAACATCAGGTTGCGTGTACAGTCAGCATGGACACGAATGTTCAACTGGATGAGAGGGTCAATACTGTCATGAAGGAAGTCTAGAATATCGAACCTCTGCACAGGCCACGTTGATATCCAGTAAAAATCATAGGAGAATTGTTTACACACGTACATAGAACAGTTAAATGGCAAAAAGGCGTGAAAATAGCACAACGTGTTATGAAGGTATTTGAGGGCAGATGAAACCACTGGTATGCAGTTGTCACAGATGCAAATTTGGATTACAAGGTCCAACGGACTTGTCCCTTCTGGTAATGATTTTGCACGGTCAACGATGCTCGCTACTCGTAGAAGAAAAACGAGGCGTGACTCCCTCTGGAGTAAACTCATATCCAAAGAGTTTGTCTTATGATGAGAAATACCTATATTCATTTGATTTAAACCCCTATCATAAATACTTTCTGTCCAAGTCGTTAGGTGAAAACATTCTAACATGTAATGCATACACTCGGTGGGAAGAGCAATTTCTGATTTCGAACGTTCCAGCCAATTCAACATGGTTGTTTGGTACAGTTGACTGGGTGTGAAGTTCTCTATCATCCTCCTGGGAGCTTTAAGAGTACAGCATAGACAGTATGTATCAGAATCATAATATTTCCGTAGGACCATCTTCATCCAGTAAAGCGATTCCATGGCAACCGTTTTAATGCATTCCGCTGGACAATTTTTCATTGCTAGCGTTACGCTAAGTCTTTGACGGAGTACACGATCAAGCTTCTGTGCACGCAGTACACTGCTCAACATGTCGCTAAACGAAATTTCTGTGCGGAAAGCTCTACACTTGAACGTCACTTCAACGAGACATTTCACCGTCCCTTGAAGCTTACCAGGCTCACGTGATACCTTAAAACTCGGTGACCTAATTTCCAAGTCTATAGTTTCATTGGTTTTCCGGTAATGGTTACTGACCTGACAAGGGCTGTAGATCAGCGTTAGCTTCCTCTTCATGTCTAATGTTGGCGAGATGGAACAGATCGGCTGGACGTCAGGTAACGGCACTAGATTGCTGTCGTTGACTCTAATGCTAAGTCTTCGTTCTTGCGCGGGAATGGCAGACAACGGGCGCGTTCGAACTACAACTCTTCACTTGATCTTGGTAAACACTGACTGAACGCTGTACTTCAAGACACACATGTACTTCTATCTGTGAGAACCTGACAGTTCACCGCCCAAGTATTGCCCATAGCGCTAATAAACTATGCCTTTGGCGATTTCTTGCGCCTGTTCGTGAGGAGGGGGGGGGGGGGGAAGGGGTGTGTTTGAGGCGAAACTACTCATTGCTAGGAGATGCTACAACAAATGCGTATTTGGCGTCCTGAGAGTGGTGCGAAATCGTCGGGACGTACAGATGTTTTTTTCTTTCTTTTCTTCTTCGTACGGACGTACAGATCTACAAGTGAAGTTATGCAATCGTACCTGTTCCAGCGCGTTAGTTTTGCGCCTTCTACCGGATTTCAGTGAGCTGATCTGTAGTTAGCGCTTACCATGATACCAAATGTCTCGTGTACCAGTCTTCGGTTTACACCTGAACGTTCGTGCAGGCAAATAACTGAATTCCTGTTTGATGTAATCCTCCCAAAATTCTCTCTCTCTCTCTCAGTCTCTCTCTCTTTCTGTCTTTCTGTCTTTCTCTCTCTCTCTTTTTCTCTCTGTCTCTCTTCTCAACCATTCTACTTCCCTTTTGTTTTCTTCTCTTGTCTTTTATCTCAACCGCTCTTTTAGGCTATGGTGCGCAAGTCCACAAGTCCACACTGTGTGTGACGTATCGGTGAAGATTCTTGCAATTTCAGCAATGAGCAATGACAGGCTTAATAAAAACAGCCAGACCCATTCCTTGGCGGAGTGTACTATTTTGACTTATCCTCCAGCAACTGTCATGACGTCACTAGAACACGATCACTACTGCACCTTCCTGCACTCTACGACAGTCAAACAACACAATGTGTTGGTTCATGTACAGGACATGGACATGTACATGTATTGTAAATGATGACTATAGAATTCCTACACCACACAACTACTGTTCATGACATCGAGTGACTGGCTGAACATGCTGCACAACACACTAGTCCACAACTACAGTTCATGATACCCGGGTACCCACACTGACTGACCTGCTGAGAGTTTGCCAGTCTTGTGTATAGTGTAGACTGGGACCACTACAAGTAAACAGTTGACCATCATGCTCATAACACGAAATCGCACAGTCGTCAATTGTCACTCGACGTATTTGCCACCTCGAGATGTCTCGAGACGAAATGTCATTCCCCTGAGTGTCCGAAACCCACAATTGACGCCGGCGGATAACCGCGAAAATAGGTTTGCGACATGTAAAGGGTGTCACGTGACTGTGACAACACATGACGAACAATAGACCATTTGACAAAATAAAGTAGGGGGGCGTAAGGGGGCAAGGCATGGTCTATAGGGGGGCCCCATCGTGCATGAGATCGCGCGTGGACCGCGCAGACTGCACAGCGTGCACAAGCACAGTGTGTACGTGGTGTACTGCACGGAGATTTCGTGTGCTTGTTGATGCCGGTGGCCGTTTCTTGTTTTTATTTTGAAATGATTTGGTTGTAGTTCAGTCGGTAGTTTTCCTTCGCCTCACGATGCCATCGCACGACCACTGCTCTGTGTTTGGCTGCTCAAATCGCCGATCAGATCAACGAGATCTGTCTTTTCATAAGTATCCCACAGATCCCGACCTAAGGGCGAAATGGGTGCAGGCATGTAAGCGCGAAGAGGGAGCGCATTTCACGATCTCATCCAGCACTGTTGTTTGCAGTGAACATTTCAGGGAAAAAGACTTCCATCCAGATCTACCCGGGCTGCCTGCATTAGCTTCTGGGAAGCCGCATCGTCGTTTGAAGCAGGAAAGCGTCCCCAGTGTCTTCTCCTTTCGGCGACCACCAGCCGAGAGACCCTCTCCTGCGGATCGTCGAAATGCTGCACTTGCTCGTCATTCTTTACTAGAGAGCCTCTATGTCGAGCCAAAAGCCAAGAAGCCGCGGCGAGGAGAAAGTGAGAGTGAGTTTGAGTATCGTGTTGCTCTGGAGGCTGCCGAAACTGAAATCCAAAACCTCAAGAAGACTGTATCAGCTCTGACTGCGGAGAACGTGTTGTTGAAAAGCCAAATCTTTCGATTTGAGAACATCAAGCATGACAGTGATCAGCTGTGCTTCCTGACAGGACTGACCAGAGAGATTTGGGACTGCATTTGGGAGTATCTCAAACCCTGTGCTGAAAACATCGTGAGTCGGCGTGTGGCAGAAGCTGAGAAAACTGGAAGGACTGTGGCACCTGGGCGTGGGCGAAAACCAGCTCTTGCACTGGAGGATGAACTGCTTCTGACGTTGATGAGAATCCGCTTAGGCCATTTGGAAGTTGAGCTTTCTTATGTGTTTCAAGTAGACGTTGCGACCGTATCCAGAATATTCGTGAAATGGATTAATTATCTGTATTTGCGACTTGGCTCGATTCCTATTTGGCCTGAGTGGTGTGATGTTGAGAGGACCATGCCGGATGTTTTCAAAGTGTCTTATCCGAACACGTTTCTCATCATTGATGCCACAGAGCTGCGCTGTGAACGGCCGTCATCTCTCTCCCTACAATCTCAGCATTATTCGTCTTACAAAGCCCATACTACAATGAAAGGTTTAGTTGGTATTGTACCATCTGGGAATTTTGCCTTCATCAGTCAGCTTTACACAGGGTCGATTTCAGATCGACAGCTTGTTGTGCAAAGTGGTCTTTTACCTCTCCTGGAATCTGTGCCAGCTGGAAAAAGTATCATGGCTGATCGTGGTTTCGAGATTCAAGATTTACTTGTGAAACCCAACCTCGTGCTGAACATGCCTCCGTTCAAAGGTTCACAGACAAGCATGCCGGTGGATGATGTTGTAAAAACCCAGAAGATCGCATCTGTCCGGATCCACGTTGAGCGGGCGATTGGTCGCGTAAAAGGAAGGTTTCGCATACTTGACCGAGACATTCCTCTCACTATGATGGGTGTTGCCAATCAAGTGTGGTCTATCTGTTGCATGATCACCAATTTCTTTCCTCCTATTATTGCCCAAAATGAACCTGAATCAGCAGCTTTAGAATAGGAAATGATTCGGACACACTCATCCCGCTTTATCTCACCACTGGACCTTATAATAGTATCTTGTGTTTTGTGGCATTTTCGTATGTACATTGAAAGCAACCATGCCATAGCATGTCGGTCAATAAAGAATTTATTGAGCGGGTGTTTAATCCTTATTGTTCTTGTTTGCTGGTGTCGTATCCATGCTATTGGCACGTGGGCTTTTATGTCTCCGCGTGACTAGATTGAATTATTTATTTGCCTTCTGTATATCTGTGTCTCTTTATTTCGTTTTCTTCCATGCACGGATTCATAACTGTCTTTATTCTGTGTTTCACCCAATGCCTGGCGCCTGCTGATTTGGTACACATGGTTGGAACCTTTCTTCATGCTCTAGTTCGTACACATTATTACGGTTTGGTATACATTGTTGCATGCGAGTGCGTCAACCTCGTGGCCATGGACTTTCATGGCTGCAAGTGGATATTACTGCGGTGACCTTTTCTCTCTCGCCTTCCGCCCTTTCGGCGGAAGCTTTGGCTTTCGGCTCTCTCTCTCTTTCGGCTTTTGTCTCTCTTGCCTTGTGCTCCCTGGTTCATCTCGTTTCTTAATCGAATAAGCTACCTTCTTGGAAGATGTGAGTAATCCTGGACACTGGTGTGAGTGTATGTGCCTGAGTGTGTGTGTGTGAGAGAGAGAGAGAGATATCTAGGTATACGTACGTGCGTGCGCAAGGGTAATTCTGTCGGTGGACTCTCTCCAAGTGGACACCACTGCATGGTTTTGTAAATTTAGTTAGTTCATGTCTACCGGGGCCCAAATTTCCAAAGCCAGATTTAAACCAGGCCCGAACACACCGTACCAAAGTGCTCAAACTGACAAGTCAGTGAGCTCTGCAGAGCGTGAGCAGCAAAGGCTCTACATCACATGAGAGTGCTCAACTACTACAGGCGCAGGAGCGAAATACTCAATCTGCGGACAGCACTGTTTCGCACTTTTATACAAATAGTATAATATAATAATTATGTACAATGGTAGATACCGCAGCGTTTGATCGTCACTCACTCTGGATAAAACGGATTGGGAGACAAACGGAAAGACAGGCGCAGCGAAACCAATAAAAGTCCGTCACAGCATGATGCACTCCCATTCAGTTTATTCTAGATCTAGAAAAGTAACATGAGCTGCAGGGGACTTCAGAGTGAACAATCCAGAGTAGTAGGAAGCAAAAAAATGGCGCAGGTAAGCATGGGCACGGCTGACAGGGATGCGTGTAAGCAGAGCACCTGCGTTACCATGAGCATGACTATCGAACAAAATGATATCATTGCGGAAGCAGGTGATTGAAAAAGAGTATGGCGTGCGAACAAAAACACCACCTGCACATGAATTTGGAGCTGCGTGAGATTTCTGGGATATAACTTCAAGCAGACTATCCAAGGCTTCATCAGATGCAGTCACAAAAGATTCTGAGGCGGCAACAACGCCAAGACTCGGCCGGATAGCAATGACTTCATCAACGGAGAGAAGCTCAGTTGTGTGCATTGAATCATACACACCATTGCCCTCTCTCATCACGGCATAGAGTGTATCTTCTGAGATATTTGGGTCACCAGCAAGAGAAGACTGCAGGAAGGCTTTAACAGCGAGGCATGAAATGATGGTACAGGCGTTGCTGCCATTCCGGCCGTCAATGCGTGCCTGACACAAATCATAGGGAAATAGATGCTCATTAGACGACCACTGTCTCGCTACTGATGTTGCTCTCGCCACCGTTGGCGTAGAAGTCACAGCAGGAGAAGACATAACACCACTATCAGTTGTCCTGCTAGAGTTAGGCGAGGAAGATACTTGCATAGATGTGGCAGCCAGCGATGAAGCAGCAGAGCAAGAGAAGGCTTGATGCTCTCGCAACGTGGTTGAAAGTAGAGGCGGAGAACTTGTTAGCGACTCAGTGGATCTGCTGCTAGGGGGAACTGGACGATGACGGCTATGCAAATATGGCAATGCATACTTCACATAAAAGGTTGTCAAGCTGCTCAGCAAAGTGGACCAGAACTGAGAGTCTGCGTAAATGCGTTCAACAAACAGATGAGGGCCGATCCACACAACAAAATCACACCAGCCCATATTGCAAATGGCAAGCTGACCCTGCACCTGTGTATAGTATGGGTGCGAACGCTTAAGCCTCAGTTGACCGTCCAGTGACTCTAGACAAAATCCTGTGATGGTAGCTGAAGCTTGCTCTGCAGATAGAGACTTGGTGAAAGCCGAGTGTGGGCATTTCACTTCAAGAAGGCCTAACTTAGGACACGCGGATTCATCATAGACCAGTCCATCAGGGGATGCGCCAATGTACTGACTGTTAGTGTGCAACACAATACCACACCGACGCGTCTGAACAGGATGTTGTGCAGCTGCTTTCATCTTGCAGTAGTCGTCAATAGCCTGTTGCTCGTGATCAACGCCATGCTTGATCGCAGGTAGATGGTCTAAAGGAGGTGGATCAAATAAGCTCTGCAAAAGGTTGTCTGGATTAGAACCAGAGAAACGAGCGACCTTGTGAAAATTCGAAGCAGTTAGTGTGTGACGGTGAAGGTCTACCCACTCTGAACAAGAGGCCTGGTCCCGAGTTCTGGCCTCAATGGCTTGCACATCTCGGACGGAAATAGACCACAAAAGCCCAGACTGACTGCTTTGTGGGACGCATGACAGTGGCAGAGCTTGCACCAGCGGAGATGGAGAATCTGGAGCAGTGGCCCACTTGTCAACTTCAACTGTCTGAAGCTGATAGGAGAGTACAGAGCCATGTGGCACAGGTCCAAAGCATGTAGTAGAGAGACGTGGCGCTTTGGGAATGAGCATTTTCATTGGACAGTTACTCGGTAGCGATGAGCGCAAGCACTGAATGGCATCATCATCTACCTTCCTGACTTGTGGGCCACGAGCTTCATAAAGGCGGCAGGTTATGGGAGGGCCTTTCCTATCCTCTTTTGGCTTCGACTTTGCCACACTTACGGACATGATGGGATGGGGTGCTACATCCCTTACTCGTGGACCCCAGCTCTGGGGAAGAGATGTAACGGACTCAGGTCCTGGAACTGGAGTATCACCAGGAAAACGAAACTGTTCAAGCACCAGTAACAGAGCAAACACATGAGAGCAGAGCCCACCATCTCCACCAGCAACACAGCCCTCACACACAGCAAAATCCACCACAGCACTGTCATTTTTGGCGTCATCTGTGAACACAAGTCGCAAGCTGTACTTGGTAGACTTCTTCTGGGTTGCCCAGCACTTGGCTCTGATAAAAATCTCGGCCTCCACACAGCACACACTAACATCGTGAATGTATCCACCAAAATACAGCTCGTGTCCCCGATCTAGAGGCTTCCTGATGATGAGAGCATGGCTCTCACTGGTGCGAACTTGCTTCCCAGTAAGCAGCAAATGCGACAGGATCGTGGATGCTGTCACACGAGGAAATTTCGATCTGTCTTGGGTCCAGCCAGAGTCAGGAAATACTGGTGCTGGAGTGCGCGTGGCGACGGGAGCTGCATCACGGGTCGACCGCTTGCTTCTTGGTGCTTCGGGATTGGATTTGTAGAATAACGCCCTGGATGTAGAACAAAATGTCAAGCGCAGTTCGTGAGTGAGTCGAGGTAAAAAAATCAGTCGACCAAGCCCAGTATCAACGTACCTCGTAAGTAGCTCTGCTTTCCGTCCTGTCAACAAACCACCATGCTTTCGTAGATAATCCCTCAGCTGCTTTATAGTCCAAGAAGGCTGAGGAACCTCCTCTAGCTCCAGCTCTCTGACAGTACCGACTCTGCCGTCCTCACCCTCCATGACTCGACTGTGCACAACAACCACTGACAACTGTCTACTCGAAAAAAAACAGCAAGAAAGTGTGTACTTTGCCTGCTTGCTGCAATGCTGCTGCATCCGCGCTGGCCAGTGGCCACGCGCTGGGTCACCTGACGCCCCCCTACGCGTACGCTTGCCCCCTTTCGGCCCCCCTACTATTATTTGCGCAAATGGTCTATTCACACTGTAACCACGGTATGCAGTGTACGTACTGTAGATTTTCATCAGCACAGCTACAGATGCATTAACTGGCATTGTGCATAGCGCCTACCCAGGCCAATGTACTTTTTGTCTTTCAACACAATTTGTAGGTTTGTGTTCTCTTTGATGTGTAGAATCGTAGTGTAGTGTAGTGTAGAAGAGGTGATATATTGAGTGGCTGTCACACCCAGACCTACGCTCCGCCATGGACGAGCTGGCAGGTGAACCCCTGAGACTTCGGTGCAGTCTCCCAGACATCGAAGCCAATGTCCTCAGCTTTATCCAGCAATTGACGTCGAATGTTAGTGAGTCTAGAGATCGAGAGGAGCGCGTGAAACGACGTGTGGATGATCTATGTGCACACGTTTCAGAGTTACAAGGCGAACTGAGCTCCTTGTGGCAGTACGCCATTGCCCATGTGGACCAACAGCAACAAAAAGGCAAGGAGGTCAAAGAGAGTGGATGTAGTAGTAGGAATAAGAGTACCCGTACTAGCACTGGAAAGTCTAAGCCGCGCGCAAATAAATTCGCCAGCTCAACCCATCAAAGGCAACCGGACCGGATAGGATACCGGCACAAGTGTTGAAAGCCTGCTCTGCTGAACTGGCGCAACCGCTTTCCATACTGTTTCCCCAATGCTTCCAAACAGGGATACAGCCCAAGACATGGAAGATTGCCAACATAGTTCTTATATTCAAACGGAAATCAAAGTCTCTACCCTACAATTACCGTACAGTTTCGCTCTTGTGTATTCTGTCCAAGGTGATGGGGACAATCATCAACAGAAAACTCACAAATTTACTCGAGTCGAACAACGTCTTCTCCACCAGACAGTTTGGATTCCGCCATGGTCATAGTGCAGCCGACCTCCTTACCAGCCTCCACCACCAGTGGCTGCATACAGCCGGGGAGAAAGGCGCAGCACGCATACTCGCCATTGACATCGCCAGTGCGTTTGATCGCGTATCACACCCCGGTGTGCTACA